TCATTAACAATAGTACATTTTGGTTATATATAAATATCTACATTGAATTGATGATATTTATATTGAGTATTGGATTGATTGCAATATGTAATTATAGTGTAAAACAATAGATGTGGTAAGCATCTCTGACCAGTAGCAAGTAGGTGAGATCGAAAATAAGTTTTTAGCTAAATCTAGCTGTTTTTGTTATTGATCTATATATTCATCTTTATCTATGAAAGTTGATTTGGCTTTTCCATTGCCAACAATCGTCTATGCATTAGGCAGGTAATATTTAAACTAGAGTTTAACAAAAGTGGGTAAAGAGAGAATTTGAACAGATGAAATTAACTCCAATTGGGTACTCAAAATGAATATTGCAAAGGCTTTATCTAAAGCATTAAACGCAAAGTTATTCGTTTCCCATTGTTCATAAGGACTTGTATAAGGAGCCAAGAAGAAAAGATCAGAGAATAAAGATGCATGTAACCAAAGAAGAAAACTAAAAAGAGGATGAGAATTTAATAACTTTGTTAAGTAAAAGACATGATAAATAATTTCGAAATTAGTGGTTTGGACAATTTTTTTTTTAAATATTTTTTTTGATAATTTTCTGGACCATATTGTAATTATATTCGCTGGTTTTTAGTTTGACGTACAAATAATGGATCAAACATCTACAAACATTTTTTTTTTCTACAAACATTTTATATATGAATACAAACCTATATGGCTATATACAGTTCTCTACTTTTAATTTGTTATATATTTCTTATACTTATATGTATATATATGTTGATATATTAAAAAGTAAAGTATTTTTTCATGTGTTGTTTACATGTTTCCTATTTAACGTAGAGGCCATCTTTTCTCTATTATTACACCGTTCTACAATTATTAGTTCTTTGCTTCTGTCTTATTATGATCAAGTAAAATCTTCACCAAAAAAATACAAGAATGAGAATTAATTATCAAAAGGAGCATAATAAAAATCGTGAGATTTTGGAAAAGAGTCTCTAGATCTAACGTTCTATTAAGAAAATCACGTGATTCGATACGTTGTTCGAACATGGAGAACATGTCAATCATCGACGGCTTAAAGAAATAATAACATTGAAAGTCGGAGAGACCAATATTACTTCTCTATTATTATCTTTTCGTTTCTTTAATATTTAATGTATATATAGTGTTTGGTGTACATAATTGCTTGTACTTTTTACATGGCTTAATTAATTTACCATTTTACAGTGCGTATACATGAAAATGAAAAAGGTGAAACTGAAATAGCTATATAAAGGGTGTGAAGGGAAGACACTAAGAGCATAAACCAAAGCAACAAAACAATCAATGGGGTCTCCAATGGCCTCTTTGGTAGCAACTTTGCTTGTCTTAACAATCTCTCTCACTTTTGTGTCTCAATCAACTGCTAACTACTTCTATTCTGCTCCTCCACCACCGGTTAAGCACTACCAATACAAATCCCCACCACCGCCGGTTAAGCACTACTCTCCTCCCCCGGTTTACCACTCCCCACCACCACCAAAGAAGCACTACGAATACAAATCCCCTCCTCCTCCGGTTAAACACTACTCTCCCCCTCCGATTTACCATTCTCCACCACC